AGAGAGAGAGAGAGAGAGAGAGAGAGAGAGAGAGAGAGAGAGACGGAGTCTTGCTCTGTCTTCCAGGCTGGAGTGTAGTGGTGTGATCTTGGCTCACTGCAACCTCTGCCTCCCAGGTTCAGGTGATTCTTCCACCACAGCCTCCTGTGTAGCTGGGATTACAGGTGCACGCCATCACACCCAGCTAATTTTTGTATTTTTAGTAGAGATGGGGCTTTGTCATGTTGGCCAGGCTGGTCTTGAACTCCTGACCTCAAGTGATCTGCCTGCCTCGGCCTCCCAAAGTGCTGAGATCACAGGTGTGAGCCACCATGCTCACCCTCCACCGCCCTGCCTCCCCCAATATTTTTGATCTGTAGTTAATTGACTCCTTGGATTGGAACCAAGTATACTGTTAATGGACACAGATGCATTTCACATAAAGAAAATTACACTCAGGAATGATCGACACTGTTTTCAGGAAAATGGCTAACTCTGGGGGTAGGAGGGAAGGTAATTTTGGAAGTGGCACCTGGGGGGTCTTCGCCTGTGCAGTGTTTTGGTTCAGGGGTTGACACTACCTATGACCATAAGCCAAATCCAGCCCACAACTGTTTTTGTGTGACCTGTGAGTCAGGAATGGCTTTCACATTTTTAAATGGTTGCAAAATAATCAAAAGCTAGATACTATCTCATAATATGTGAAAATGATGCAAAATTCATATTTCAGTGTCCATAGGTAAAGTTTTATTGGAACACTGCCCTGCTCACTGGTTTACTATCCTGTCTGTGGTTACTTTCACACCACAATGTTAAGTGGAGTAGTTTCAACAGAGACCATGTATGGCCTGCAGAGCTGAAGGTATTTAGGATCTGGCAGCAAAATTTTGCCAACCCCTGTATCAGGTCATCAGGATTCTGGGTATCCCACTTTTGTATGTTTTACCCATCTTTGTATGCCTGAAACACTTCATAATTGTTAAATAAGAAAGTCTTCATTTTAGGGCTTGTACATAGGAAATACTTTATGCATATGGACTTTTTGATCTGATGAGAGAATCCCACCCTGATATGGTTTGGGTATTTGCCCCCTTCAACTTTCATGTTAAAATGTGATGTGGGGCCGGGCGTGGTGGCTCATGCCTGTAATCCCAGCACTTTGGGAGGCCAAGGTGGGTGGATCACAAGGTCGGGAGATCGAGATCTAAGCCATCCTGGCTAACATGGTGAAACACCGTCTCTACCAAAAATACAAAAAATTAGCGGGGCATGGTGGCACATGCCTGTAATCCCAGCTACTCGGGAGGCTGAGGCAGAAGAATTGCTTGAATGTGGGAGGCGGAGGTTGCAGTGAGCTGAGATTGTGCCATTGCACTCCAGCCGGGTGACAGAGCGAGACTCTGTCTCAAAAAAAAAAAAAAAAAAAAAAAAGTGATGTGATCCCTAGTATCTTGGGACTAGTGGGAGGTGTTTGGGTCATAGGGGTGGATCCCTGAACGGCCTAGTGCCCTCTCCATTGTATGAGCGAGTTTTTGTTCTATTAGTTCACAGGAGAGCTAGTTATTTAAAAGAGCCAGGCATCTCTCTTGCTCCTTTTGTCATTGTGTGATGTGCATGCTGCCCCTCCAGCTTCCACTATGAGTAAAAGCTTCCTGAGGCCTCACCAGAAGCCAAACAGATACTGATGCCATACTAGTACAGCCTGCAGAACTGTGAGCCAAATAAACCTCTTTTCTTTGTAAGTTACGCAGAATCAGGCATTCCTTTATAGCAATGCAAAACAGGCTAACACATACACAAATCAGCTCTGGTGTTTATATCCTTATATTGAATATATGTGTGTGTGTGTGTGTGTGTGTGTGTGTGTGTGTGTGTGTGTGTAGAGAGAGAGAGAGAGAGAGAGAGAGAGCTAATGTTTATATATAAATGTTGAGTCCTAAAATGTCCCCATCTATACATGCATCCTGGGTGCCTGTTTTCTTGTTTTTCAAATGCCACAGGCACTCCAGGATAGAGGCCTAGGCATCTTGCTCCTTCAACATATCAAAGCTATCAAAGCTGTCCTATGGTGTTTAGCAAATAGCAGACATTGTATCTTTATCTGGCTACAGGTGCCAGAAATTTGCATCATATCCAAATGTATTCCCTTCATTCTTCTGGGTGTGTGCAAATAATTTAAGGTTAAAAAGTAAGCAATGGGGTTAAAAATATCATTAGTCTCTAGATATCCAGATGCTGTGAGTATTAGAAGCAGCAAATTGTTAGCCAACTGACCAAATCTAGTTAAAAACAAAATGAATTGTTTTTCCCACTCCCTGGGGTTTAAAAATATTTGTAGTTTGCAATACTTAAAAATGAGGCAAGTTCACATAAAAATCTGGATTTTCCCCTTTTCTTGGAAATAGAAGAATACTGCCTTATTCTTGCATGGCAGCAACCAGCTGGCACTGAACAGTGGCTGCCCAGTTAAGTCATGGGATATGAGCTCCATTTTGTCACAGTCCCCACCACTCCCTACTCTCTTACATGACCCTCTTTTGTCATTTGCATTTGAGAGCTACGTCATATGTAGTATCAGAAAAGCTGGCTAAGGAAAGAGACAGCAGTGTGACACTTCTGGCCTCAGTCAACGTAGCTTATTTACTTTACTGAGTGTTGCCATCATCCTTCAGAGCTCTCACACATCCAAAACAGCATTTTGTTGATTTTAAGCAGAGAAGGAAAGTGTTTGTGAATTTGAACTCTGAGACTGAGTATTGCGACTAAGGCTTTTGGTGTATTCACCTTATGCTCTTGCCTAAGATTCTTGAAGGCCAAGCCAATGAGGAAATCACCTTTATTTCCTACACAGCACTTGACACAGAATCTTGTTCACGCCATCATCCAAATACCTTCTGTTGGAGGAAAGGAGGAGAGAAGGGACAGAGGGAGAGAGGGAGAGGGAGGGAGGAAATCTTATTTGAGCCATGACCTTCTTCCAACAAGATTTTTTAAAGTTTCAATTTATCTGTATTTTTCCACCACACCCTAGACAATGACTCTGACATGTTAAATATGTAAACATTTCCTTATAAATAATGCCATGTTGTTTTATGTGTGGCATGTGTTTTAATTTAATGAATAGTGTGTATAATATCTCATTCTGTTTACCAGGATTTTTATT